AAATGTACAGTAACTGGCATGTGCATCTCTATGTTTCCTAATGAAAAACGTGGGATGGATGATCAGCCGGGATATAAATATATACTGTCAGATTTAGTTGTAAACCAAAGTCACAGTATTTTTGATAAGTTATGATTGTCTTGGTTACATAAGAAATTTGTTGCACTTGAAATTTATGATTCCTATGAAAAATAAAAGGAATTCCTTTACTTTTTTCTTAAGAGTTAATAAAGTAAAAGGTAATTTGCACACAGGGGAGCCATCATTGTTTTTCTTCATGGAAATATTTGAAAGATATTTTCTTTTTTTGATTTGTTCTTTTTTATTTATTCTAATTCATTATACATATGACAGCAGAATGCATTTCAATTCATATTACACATATGGTGCACAAATTTTTTCATGTCTCTGGTTGTTCACAAAGTAGAGTTGAAAGATAATTTCTAAAAAGTTTGCTGTGGACTAAAATGTTAAAAGATATTTGCATTTCTGACTGTGAATATCACATGGAGGTAAAATGAAAATAAATATTTACAGGTAAATTGTTTTAAAGTACAATAAAAAGTTTTCCCACTATTCTTTCTCCCTCTTCCTCCTCTTGTTTTAATTTTAATTATGATTTGCTTACTCTCTTTGTCTTATAGGCAAAAACTTTATCTTGTGCAGAATAGGAGCTAATACTGCATGACACTTTGTTTAGGAGCAATTTGAAATTATTCCTAAAATATCATCATGCAGATTATAAAATGAATATCTCACATACTCTCACTTTGCATTTATCTTGTACCATTAAATTAATTATTAGCAGGCAAAAAATTAGTTTTTTAAAAAGTTTTTTAAATTTATTTTTTAAAAATAAATGACAGCAGAATGCATTACAATTCTTGTTACACATATAGAGCACAATTTTTCATATCTCTGGTTGTATATAAAGTATGTTCACAGCAATTCGTGTCTTCATACATGTACTTTGGATAATGATGTCCATCACATTCCACCATCCTTGCTGGCAAAAACATTATTAAAGCAATGAAACGAATTCTTGACTTACCTGTCCTGAAACTTAAGTACTTAACAAGTAGAAATATTTTATTGGAATTCATAATGTGAAAGGTTTGTTTGTTTTGTACTAGGGATTGACACAGGGGCACTTCACCATTAACCTACATCCTCAGCCCTTTTTATTTTTTTTTTATTTTGAGACAGGGTCTCACTAAATTGCTAAGTGTCTCACTAACATTCTTAGGCTGACCTTGAACTTGCAATCTTCCTACTCAGCATTTGCAGTTCTTGGAGTTACATGTGTGCACAACTGCTTCCTGGTATGCAGGATATTTTTTTAGAAATTAGTTATGAATTGTATCTTTCCTTTTTAACTTACAAAAAGTTTCTTATAAAAGAAAAGCTTAAATTTTCAAAGAAAAATAAAAATCTCAAGAAACTATGCAATTAAACTAATTTATAGGGCTGGGGCTATAGCTCAGTGGTAGAGTGCTTGCCTAGTATGTGTGAGGCACTGGGTTCTATCCTCAGCACCACATAAAAACAAAACAAATAAAATAAAGGCATTCTGTCCATCTACAACTACAAAAAATATAAAAAATTTATAAATACCAAAAATTCAGTTTTTTGCTTAAAATATAGAAATAGTCCAGTTTTATATTTTTGAAAGTCCTGTTTTAATCCCTATCACTTATTAAAATGGAATAGATAATTTGTTCATGAAAACAAATTTTTTCAAAGTACAAGCAATGAATTTTGACATTTGATACAATGTCTCATTAGTATGGAAGCATGAGTTACATTCAAATACATGTATATTATAGTGAATTTTATGCTATAGTTTGTGATTTTTTTATCTCAATTTTCAAAGTCACTAAACTTTGAATAGTCAAATTAATATAATAAAATTCACTGTATATTTTTTTCATTATTTGAGGACTCTGGCACCAGCATAGCTGTGTTAATTGTTTTCAAGTTAGTCAAATAAAACATATTTATGCTTGTAACATAATCCATGAGTATCTGAGGGATGTTCACTCCTTTTTTTTTTTTTTCATTTGGAATCATATATTACTACTGTGTTAAAGACACTCTGCTTGGTCTAACTCTTTCCATATATATAATGCAAATTGGTCTTTACTTATTTCTACCTCTTTGGGTTTTGTAATAGGACAAAGTCTGATCTGATCTTTAAAGCCAGTGTCCTATTGATATAGTTGAGGGATATGGCAGAAGGGGGATGAATCCTTACTTTTAATTTGTGACTTTTCTTGGGTATGAGTGTAAATTGATACATTCCTTTATAGAGTGGGAAATTTGAAAATACAACTTTACATTTGTAACTTTGTACCTATTACATGTTTCTTCATTTCAAACCAGAAACATTCACTGGGGGCAGAAGTGTCCTCTTTCTCTACTGTACTTGGTAACAACCTGCTGCTTTTGGCCTGTTTTCCTTCATCTTTCCTTCTTTACTTTATAGCACAGAGAGTGCTTAGCACCAGTTAAGGTATGTGCTCGGCTGGCGGTCAGATAATTAGGGGAGAAAGCTGGGTTTTTCAAAAGATTTTGTAATAAAAGTTTTGAGCTTTCCTGAAATCTCCTAGAATTAAGATTAAATGTTGATAGTGTTGTATATAGTGACTTTTATTGTTCTGTAGATAAAGGTAATCGGTAGTTGTTATTAAATATTCTCATAAGTATAAATGAAAATGTAGACATGCAAAGACTGCTTTAATTTTCCCCTTGGTTTCTTCTACTCAAGTAGAAACTCACGTAGCTAGATTAACTCAGCATTACAGTAAGGATTAATTTCCTAATAGAGTGTAATATACTTTGAAGTTATTAGCCATTTTATTCATGAGTAGCTTTTATGAAAAGTTGTATCCACATGGTTTGATTTATTTTTGAAGCATGTGTTCCTGTTGTTCATATACTTCTATTTTTTTCCCATGAAGTTTCAGCATTCTTTTCTTGGAGCTCTGAAATATTTCAAATCTATTTATAGAAAGAAGAGACATATTTTAGCCTGTTTTATATCTTGTATGTATCTAATCCTAGCATATGGACTTGCTCTGTCCTTGTGATCAGTACTAGTAAATTGGGCTTTATTCTGACTGTTATCATAAATGCTCTCAACTCAATTTTTAACCAATTTATACTTTGGCATTTGTATCAGTAAAATCAATTTAGTGCAATGATATAATATGTATGAAAGGGTAAAAAATAGAAACAAAACTAGGTAGGATAAGAAATTTAAGACTTTTTGTTGATTATTCTTATCCATAATCCAACGTTATATCAGTTTTTCTCAGAAATTCAAACCTAATTTGAGAAAAAATTGTCTCAGAAAGGTATGATTAGAATTTTTCTTAACTCTTAAACTCAATTTTATTTTTTTATGTTTTTTAGCATAAAAATCGTTTAGGTATAGAAAAACTAGATACCTCGTTTCTAAAAGTGAAATAAAAATAGGAGACAATTTAGGCAATTAAATACTACCTGAATATATACATATGCATGTAGGCCCAATTGGCAGGTTGCTCAGAATCCAATTTTGAAGCACAAAGGTAGATCACTTGTTAAAAACCTAAGAAAATAATAGGAAAAAATGGAAGAAAGAAAGAAGGAAGGCAAAAAGAAAGGAAGGAGGGAAGAAGTAAAGGAAGGAGCAGGGAGTCTTAATTTTATAGAATCAAGCTGAGTTCTATTTAGACAAAACTTCAACTTCTGTGATAGCCTGCTAGTATGGTCGGTCTTCATCGGTCATTTTACCACACACTGATCTGGATTCCATTCATTCCTTGATTGATTGATCATGTCACAACCAAAGTTAATTGTTTTTCACCAATACTTTCTAACCATGCAATGGTCTTCTCATTCTTAAGCCTTTTTCTAAAGCTTATCTAGTTTCTAAAGCCCTTTAGAGCCATCTTGACCTAACTGTCATTTTGAAAAAATTAAGGAGGATTTAGAAGCTGGAGAAAAATTTAAAGGGAAAATGCTAAAGAGATAGGTGCTGATATGGGAGAGAAAAGGCATTTGATATTGGAAGTAACCATTTTAAATATAATTTTAAGAGAAATTTATCAGAATTTGACACTGGAATGTTAAAGTTTAATGGGAGTGTGCTTTGTACTAAGGATCCAGTATTTAAATCTACATTCCCTTTTGGAAACATGACCTATTTGTTAAGATTTAAGGCTTAAAAAGCACAAGCAAATAGTTATAAGAAGTAGCCCCATTTGCAAATCCATCTGAATAGAAAGAAAAAAACTCAGACAAATTCGGTAATTTTTAGGATATGGTAAAATTTTATTTCTGTAGCCTTTATGAATCTTTGCAAAAACAAATGTAATTATTCCTTGTAGTCTAGAATGTTATTTAGAAAGGCATTGGGGCAAATAACATTTAAATATATACTTTTAAAAATAAAAATATGCATCACTTTTTGTATAAAAGTTTTAGCAGTTTTCATTACTAGTGAACAGAGAACATCTTGACTTTATTTTTTCCTCTTTCTGCTCCAAATGAGTATTTTACAAAAGTTGGATTTCTTCTTTCAGGATTAAGTAGTTACTGGCCTCTTCCCCCTTTAAAATCTGTCATTGTTCCTTATACAGCACATAAATTTTGCTTGGACTTAAAATATCACCTGGATCAAAAGGTATATAATCTCAACTAAACCCATATAAAAGAGCCCTCTTTAAGGTGCAGTCTAAAAATTATGAATGTTGATTAAATATTAATAGAATTATGATAATAAGAAAAGATTATTGAGCATTATCCTCTTTTCTCCTGGGTAGTAGTGTAACTCTTCTTCTGGAAAAAATAAATTCAGTTGTGGTATTTTATAATAGAGTAAAACAACAGCAGCAAAAATAGCTTTGTACACTTTTAAATGAGAGAATTTATCCTAAGCTGCCTTTCTGAATTTGTAATATACATATGTTTTTAATTATATGTATACAAATAATTAATAATTTGTATTTTAACAGATTCTTCCTGCATGGAAAAACTACTTTCAAAGGATTGGAAGGAAAAAATGGAAAGACTAAACACCAGTGAACTTCTTGGAGAAATTAAAGGTACAATGTAAAAGATATCAAATATATCAATGCATAGATGTTATTTTATATAACAATATATTTGTTGTTCTATACTAGAACATTAAACTCTTACTTTTACTACATGATAAATATATAATGTGTCCCTTAAATTTTATTCTTTATAAGGTTTATGAATGAAATTTATGCCTACCTTTGGCATAAGTCCATGAACATAGAATTTATAGAATATATTGCCTCATGAATTTGTGTAACAAAAATATGAGAAAGAAAAAAGTTATATCAAAAAGTGAAGAGCTATTTAAGGTAAAGATATTCTTAGTAATGATTCTTAAAATCATATTGGCGTAATTTATGAAGCCAATTATTAATTTGAATTTCTTCTGATAAAAGAGTTTACCTGTAACACCTTTAAAAACATTTATACAATACACTGTACATTTATAGAATATATACTTATACAGTGTACAGAATACAGAATATACAGTGAATTCTGGGGCCTGTTTACAGGCCTATTAACATCCTGGCTCTGTGACTTACTAAATGAGTGTTTTTTGGTAGACCACCAAATTTTTCTACATTTCGTATTCCTTATCTTTAAAATTAAGATAATAATGTACCTATTTCACAGGCTCATCAAGAGAGAAATACATATAATGCTCTTAGAACTATGATACTTGTCACTTAAGAAAGTACTCATGAATGTAAGTTGTGGTGGTTCTTATTTTAATATGCCCACAGGGTCATAGGTTGATTAATCTCAAACAGTTTCATAAGATTTAGCATTTCATGATCTCAGATGCAGATGAGAATAAACATCTTTATTTTTAATACATGTGATTGGTGTCATTATTTTATTATTATTATATATGTGATTGATATTATTTTTAAACTCTCTCTTGTTGATTTATTTATGAAGATGAAGTACTGTATCCCTAGTGTGGTGTATCATGAAAGGAATACATCATTCATTAATTCTATCAGTCTTTCCTTACACAGAGATAGTCATCACTCTGATTCATACTAACAATTTGGGAACATCTTTACATTAATTTTATTAATTTAACATTCAACTGTAGGTGAATATTCCTGTTGGTTGTGGATAGTTTCTCAATAAGTATTTAATAAATACGTTCTTTTAGATTTACTGTAAAACCATTGCCTAGTATTAAGGCATGGTATATTCAACTCAAACATAAAGACAAGAAAGTCATCTTTTCCCCAATGAATAATTAATAACTCATTCCTTTAACTAATAGTGTCAAAATCAAGTAGAAATTGAATATTATTTTGAATTTCACTGCTTCTGTTTTGTACTCATAAAGGCCATTTGCTATTTTGGAAAAAAAAAAAAGAAACTCAACTTATAACTGACGGGTAGAAAGAAAGTCATTAGTGACATATTCTCTATCCAGCTGCAATATCATGGTGTGTGCTACTTTGCACGTCATTCTGTGTTTTCTTCCCTTTCCAAAGCCATTGGTTTTATAACAGTTAGAACAGAAATGGTTTATGCAAAGGCAAGCTTTTGCCAGCATGAATGGTGGGTGTCTTGCTTTCTCTTGGTAATGTAGAAGCTAACACTAAGTTTTTATACTTCAAGGTATCTTTTTCTTCCTGTATTTCATCTTTCTTTATATTTAAATCTAATTATGAATTAAATATCCCAAAACTGTACATGTTTTAGATGCACAAAATTTATAAATCTCAGAAGTGAGATTCTTGAAAAATTAGGCTTTTCAAACTGAATTTATGTGATACGTGAACTTTCAGTTGTATGCTATTCTGAGTTTTGTGGGCATAAAAGAATGCTGAATTTCCTATTTTGACTTATTTACATTTTGCCTCTTCTTACATTTTAATATTTTGTCATCATGTACATTATACAGAAAAGATAACTATAATATGTTAATTTAAAAATGACGCATCCTCGTATAGTTTCATTTAACCACTGCTAAAACTCAGCATACTTTTTTCTAGGTAAGACCAAGTTGATTATTAGTCAACTAAAATTGTTATCATTATTCTGAAAATTTAAAGTAATCTAAATGATGTATTTGGGGAATATGTACTACTGTGGATTAACAGTATTTAATATAACTCAAACTATGTATTTTAATAAGTCTTATTTCCCTTGATTACAAAATTCATGTGTATTTATTTGTAAGAAACAGAAAAACATGCAAAAGAAATAAAATTGTTCTTTAATTCTGCAAGTATTTTATCATTTATCCTTTCAATTTTAACTTACACACACACACTTATATATATTAATTTTTCCTATTAGCATCATCCTTATACTATTCTTTTATAATCTGTTTTCACCTTAATGATATATCATGAATTTCCTTGTGATTAAGTAATCTTCTAAAATATTTTTATTGGCAGAAAATGAGATTTTCATAATTTAACTGAGCCTTGTATTCAACACTGAGGTTTTTAAAAATTGTCAGTATAAAGCATGTCTTAAGCACAGATGACTTTTTAGGAAGATTTTTCAGCCTATTAGTGGTCATTTCATATATATATATTTCTTCTTTTGGGGTATCAGGAATTGAACTCAGGGGCACTTGACCACTGAGCCACATCCCCAGACCTTTTTTTTTGTATTTTATTTAGAGACAGGGTTTCACCGAGTTGCTTAGTGACTTGCTTTTTGCTGAAGCTGGCTTTGAACTCATGATCCTCCTGCGTCAGCTTCCCGAGCCGCTGGGAAAATATATTCTTAAAAGTGAAATTCCTGGGCCAAAGAATATGTTCTTTTTAAAAAGACCTTTGCCCATTATCCTATAGAAAAATATAGTGTTTTGTATTCTCACTGGTAGTATCTGCAAGTGTTTTTTCTTTTGCCCTTAATAGAAAAAAAAAATTCTTGCTAGTTTAATGGGGGCAGAGGCACATTGTTGTTGATTTAATATGAAGGTTTTTTTTTTTATTATTATTAGTGAGAATGAAGAGATTTACATAAATTTATTTGTTATTAAACATCTGTTTCTTCATGAACGGCCTATGTACGTTGATTGTCCATTTTTTTCTTTAAATGTCTTGTCTAGTTCTTATTGTATGAACTAGAAAATATATATAGCAAGAATATGTAGTAAGAATTCTTAATATATATTTTAATATTATTAAGCTTCATAGTGCATTTTTTATTTGCTTTATTTTATTATTTTGTTGTCAGTCTTTCCATTCATTTTAATTTAATTTTTTCTGTTGGGAATTTGTTTAGAAAGTTTTCTCCTGCCCTGAAATTAGATACTATTCTGCTCTATTTTCTTTCAACGAGTTGACTCTGTTTTAAAACATTTAACCCCTTAATTCCTCTTGAATATATTTGGATGTATAATGTCAACTAGAAGTAGAACTTAATTTTTTTCTTGATCAGTTAACCAAGGATCTCTCTTCTACTTATTAAATTCTTCCTATCATATCCTCTGAGTTGAAATAACATATTTCATTATACTCTGATCATGTATTTTGAACATATTTTTCAGAGTTTGGGTCTATTCTATTTATCTATCTAAATTTTTATTAGTACTATGTTATACTAATCATTGTAACTTTATAGTAACTTTCCTAATATCTTTCCTAATTTTTAAGGTATTTTCATATTCCTTCAAAATTTATCTTCAATTTATTTTATTAATTTGTTAATTAAAGTCCCAAAGTGATTTTTTTTTAAAAAATTACATTTCTATCAAATTTAAGGGGTGAATGGACACCTTATAATATTATTCATAATATTAAATGTTTCCATTAAAAATAATGTATTACATTCTTACATGTCCCTGAATAATGTTTTATTTTAAAAATACAGTACATTATCTTTAATGGTTTCCCTTTAATGTTTACTATTTTTGCTTGCCTTTATGAATGAGATTCTTTATTTCATTTTCTTTTTATTGCTTTATTTAATGATTCTACTGAAGAATTTTGCTTATTTATTTTACTGGTTTATTTTATAATTTCCCTCTTTATTGAACTTATTAGATATATTTCAACTGATATGTGTGTTTGTGCTCCTACTTCCCTTATTACATTGCATAGAATCTCAAGAATAATACTAAGTGATAGCAGATATTTTAGCATTGTTTTTAATTTATTGTATTCTTTTTAATATTTCACATTAATTATTCTGTTGATGATTGATTTAAGCTATTATTTTTTGTTAAAATATCATTATGTAGCAATCATAATACAATAATAATAAGTGCTGGAGAGGATGTAGGAACAAAAGGTACACTTATACATTGTTGATGGGACCACAAATTAGTACAACCAATTTGGAAAGAAATATGGAAATTCCTCAAAAAAATAGAACTAGAACTACCACCATGCCTTTTTCCCCTTTACTTTGCTTTAGCTCCCACATATGAGAGAAAACATTTGACCCTTGATTTTCTGAGTTTGGCTTACTTAGCACAATATTCTTCAGTTTCATCCACTTACTGGCAAATGACTTAATATTCATCCATAATTGAGAAACATTAAATCAATCACTTCTTTTTATAGATTTTACTTAAAAGTGCTTTTACATAAAATTCTTATGTCTACATGATAGGATTTGGATTACTGCTAAAATTTGGGAAACACCGAATCGGAATTTTCAATGAGTCTGTGACTAAGTCTTTTGTAATGTTTTTATTGTCTATATTTGAGGTGTTCAGCAAGGTCTTTTTATATACATATGTATATTGAAACAATTACTACAGTCAAGCAAATTACCATATCCATCATCTTTTTCTATGTGTGTGATAAGAATACCTAAAACCTCTCAGCAAATTTCCAGTGTACAATGCAATATTATTAACTGTAGTCCTCATGTTGCACATTAGACTTTTAGACTATTTTATCTCATGTAACTGCAACTTTATACCTTTTCACCTACTATTTTCCCCTTCTACCTCACCCCTGTTTGGTAATTACCATTCTTAATATTGTATAAGAGAAAAATCCCATCCCTATCCCCTACCATTTTTCCCCCCATAGGTATCCAGCTTTCTAGTAGCAGCAATAGTTAG